GATATTAAAAGGTTATAAAGTATTTCGTCGCTTTAGCTCTTCTTTTGTCAATTCAAGGTATTGGGTTATTACAAAAGTAATCAAATATAATGTGATACAGGATATCCGAGGGTTTCAGAAGCCGCTAAGACTCTGGATATAAATATCCAGAGAGCTAAAGTGGCTCGCGAAAGGGTTAAGTATCCAAATAACCAGAGCTTCTCACGGCAAAAGTATTTGTAGCTAATACTAAATTATCGCTGAAGCGTTTCGTTTGTGGCTCGTTTCCTGGCTATAGGATTGGGCAAAATTTAATGGTCCGCCTCCGTCTTCACCTTTCACGTAGGACCGAACTCCATCCGACCTTTCAGCACTTACGCAGCCTAAAAGGCTCCCGTTCAATGCGCCTGTCAGCATTGACAACGCTTGGCCATCCGATATTAGCACACATGCAATTGACCACTCGTGAACGAACTACCAAAAGCTCAACAAGATCCTTGAGGCAAAAGCCACTTTGAGTACACGACTATACACCTAAGCCCCCATCATTCAGCATCACTTGCCACTCACTTTCTACTAAAGCCGCGAACTTAAGTGCTGTTTCACCTGTGGGGTTACGCCAATAGTAGCTTTTACTTTCGAATCGGTGAGTACGGTTCAAACTGCTTACGTTCGATTCACTTCAATACTAAAGTCCCATGTGAATCGGAAAACTTCGTGAATCGAGTTTCTGGGGTTACTTCGGTTCACTAAATTTGTCCTGAACCATGGTTCACTTCTGGCTTGTTCAGGCCGTGTGTCCAACCAAGTTTCTCAGCATGCCATCGAAACTTCTGTACAAGTGCCGGAGTAAAAGATGGTTTTATACGATAGGATTGGCTTCGCTGACAATTGAGTTGTTGGAGAAGTAAGAAGCTAGCTGCAACCACCATTCGTAAAGGGTAACATTCTGCCAAATCATGCAGTAAGATACCATTAAATAGTACCGGGGTATTATTCGGGAATTTACGTTATTTTTTGAAGGGCTACTATGCGGTAAATTCGTTACACTGTCAGTACATCATGTTACTCAGGTAGCCTCGAGTAAATGAGCTAGTAGTGTGGTCAAAAAGGCATCAATATCCACATATATACCTCAGGCGAGGAAGTACACCGGTTTAGAGAGCGAGATATGAAATGCTCTCCTCTGTGTGCGCTAGCTTCCGACCTCAGAGGCATACAGGCGTATCAAATTAAAATTATCCATATGGACATACTTATGAAAGTTTTTATTTTCCTTCTTTTTTTTCTGACATCGTAGTAGGGCTCACGTTTTAGAAAGTGATACATAAAGCTCCTGGGCTTCTTTTCGTGAAAGCGCAAATGCAGGCATCTGCTAGTTTCGGCTCCAAGTCGAACTAATATTGCAATACAACATCTCGAATCAGTTTTCATGTTAAATGGGACTCCAACAATCATAATAGGGTGTTTGAGAGCAACGGTGATCCGTTATTGATACGAAAGACAAGATGTACTGTATTGCTGCAGTTCTTGCTAGTACCCATCTTGCCTGCTCAGCCTGCAAAGACTTTAAAACCCAAGCTAGAATATAGTCTTTTGAATCCATACTAGACTATGTCTGGACCAGTTTTATGCTTTGTGTTGCTTTCCACACCATCGAGACATTGCATCTATTGTATATAATAATGTCCGCTGTATTGTCGTGGGTTAGAAGGCTACTTTGCCTTGCTAAGGTGTGGTCATGGAATTTGCCATTGGTTCTGAAAAATATTTTAAAGCTGTACTCACCTCAAATCTGTGGGGGAGGAGCCGCTCGAAAATTTGACAAGTCGAGTAAAACATGAGTTTTGTGCGATTTTTACTATAATACTTCCCTCGATAGCTTCCCCTCGGCCGAATACTACTCAAAATTTCGTCGAAGGCGCCACTCTGGTCTCTCATTCCCTTCGTGACCGTACTGCAATGCACATAGAG